CCGTCTGTGGTTGAACAGCAGGCGACATGATATTGGAGGTAAAGAGGCCCACTTTACATTGCCGGGTCGTGTTTGCTCACTATGTTCCGGCTCAGCCCGGATGGGATCAATCAGGTTGATGACCAGTGGCGGCGGAAGCAGGGGGGCAAGGGGGGCAGCTGCACCCTAAAGCTATGGAAAGGGGCGCCTCGAAAATCTGTAGAGGAGGCAGGAAGTTAAGAGGTGCGGCAGCCATAAAGCTGAGCAGTGCGACACCGCAACTGATAAAGGCACTTGTGACACGAAGAGGGTGGCAATGACGTGGGAAAAGTATTTTTTGATATGCTGAAGAGTGGAGGGCATCCTTATCTGAAACAAAGGCAGATGCTGCCGACCCTGTCGAATATAGTCTTGCCAGGCAATAAAGGCTAGGAGGGCGCAGCCACTCGAGAAGCGCGCCATGCGGGAGGGGCGCCTGCATGCGAAAGAGGGGCGCCTGTGTGTGGGACGAAAAAGAAACATTTATGGAGACGTCTTTGAAGGCGATAGCCTCCGAACGCCAATGCACGAACATATGAGGGCTTATAGCGTTGCAGACTCCATGCGACAAAAAGGGGCGCCTGATGGCCGATATGCGAGAGGAAATTAGTTTGTGTAACATTTATCGGGGGCGGTTTGCCGTTTACAACATATGAATGTTAAGGGAGGTCCGAGATTGGGGCCTGTAAAATTGCACTGTCCGTATGGGCGGTTACACCCCTAGTGCTAGGGCGTATTTTGCGTTTTTTTTTTTACTGGGGAGATGATTATATATAGCACTCTGCAAACTTCTATGGGCGCCTGTATAGGGGCGAAACTGATTTTCCAGTGCAGGGACGGCCATCGGCATTGTGGGGCGGCATTCATTCCACTGGGGCGTCTGCCAGTGTTGAAGGGCGGTATTCATTTCAATGGGGCGCCCGTTGGTGTTGATGGGCGACATGTATCACCTGGGGCGCCTATCGGAGATTGGGGCGGCATTAATTGCACTGAGGCGCCTATCGGCGTTGACGGGTGGTATTTATTCATCCGGGGCGCTTATCGGTGGTATAGGCCGGCATTCGCTTCACTGAGGTACCTATCGGTGTTTTAAGGCGGCAGTAAATCCACTGGTGTCTGGGGCGCCTACCGGCGTCGAAAGGCGACATTCATAATTCATTTCACTGGGAGGCATATTGGTGTTGATGTGTAACATTCATTCTCCTGGGGCGCCCGGCAATGAGGGGGCGGCATTTATTCCGTTCCCCTGGGATGGGCCCCTATCGGTGTCAGGGACCGCGGATTCCAATTCTCGTAGGGTGTGCAAGATGTGGCGATTGGGCCCCCCATCTCACGCCGGGCCCCTTCCAAAAAGTCAGCGCCGCCACTGCTACGGAATAAGCCGGTTCTAAGGAAGCGGGGCGGAAAAACCTTCAAAATTGACGGTCGTAAGATGACTGAGCGAGCATCTTACGGTCAGGAGACGCATGAGCAGAGTAAATGCACATGCATGCATGTAACGTGATCCAAATCGATCTCCGATTTTCCCAAGCAGACCCCTAAAGGCTTACAGTGACCTTCAAGGACCCCTACGGGCCTCAGAGAGCCCTTTTGCACAGTTGATGTTGGCACACTTCTTTTTATCATGGATTACATGAATTAGTTTAAAAATAAAAATAAAACACGGCGGACGGGATGTTTGGGCCCATCGATTTGGCCCCTATTACCTATTGGGTTCTGGCCTCCGGCCTCCTTAGCTTCCCCATTGCTCTACGGCCCACACACTGGCTTTGGGGCCCCATAAAGGCCGCACGCCAGCTCCTGAGACCCAACGCCGGCAATTCTAAGGGTCACCGGCGCACCGCACACGGTTTTTGAAGGTCCCATAACGGCCTCTGGAATACCTCATGTACATAGAAATGTGGATGCCCACGCCGCTTCTTGGGCCCCCACACCGGGCTCTTTGACACCGTTCGCCGGCTCCATGGGGTACCAACTACCCTACCAAGCAAGCTCGCCTGGAGGTCCCCCACCGTCTCTTGGCGCCCGAATAGCCTCGATGCCTGAATAGGGCCCCGAGACATCGACCTTGGCCAAAAAGCGTTCGTGTAGGCCCTCAGAAACTGTTGTGAGCCCTGAGATTACTGTGTGGGCTACTCAGGCACTTCTGTCGGGTCATCATGCATCGAGTTGGGTCCGAGCTAGTGAGGGTTATCAGAAGCATCCTTAAGCCCTGCGACTTCAGAGGTTGGTGTGAGATCCTAAAAAAAGAAAGTGAGGGCCGCACTCCGAGGCTTGCGAAGGGCTTTTCCTCGGAGGTCGGCCTTGGCCGAACGGCGTTCCTCAAACTGGTGTAGGGCGCTGAGATTACTGAATGGGACTATCGAGTATTGGCATGGGGCCCTCAACTATCAGCACGGAGCCCTCAGGAGCCGGTAAGGGTTCCTCTGCGCCATGCATAAGCCATCCGATTTCAGAGGCCGGTGTGAGATCCTAAACAAGAGCTGAGTGCACTTAAAAGCCTGCGTAGGGCCCTCAGAGATCAGCTTTGACCAGACGGCGGTCGTGGACGCCCTTAGAAACTGACGTAGGGGCCGCCTCAGTCGGTCGGCCCTCTCACATCAGCCTGAGGATCTCAGGAATCGGCCTGGGGCCCTCAAGAGCCGGTTAGGGCCCTCGGAAAGTGGCATTATACCCTGAGATAGCTGTGTAAGGCCCTCGGGTAACGGCTTGGGGCCCTCGGACATCGGCCTGCGCCCGCGGGCATTGGCCAGAGGTCCTTGGATATCGGTCTGGGGCCCCTCAAGAGCCGGTGAGGGCCTTCAGAAACTGGGGTGGGGCCCTGAGATAACTCTGTGGGCTTTCAGTTCCTGATGCGGGACCCTTAGGCATCGGCCCCAAGAGGGGGTTAAGGAGGGCAGGGGGCAGGGGCCCTCAAGAGCCGGTTAGGGCCCTCAGAAACTGGCGTGGATCCCTGAGCTAGCCATGTAGGTACTCAGACACCGGCGTGGGACCTTTAGACATCGACTTGGGGCCCTCGGACATCGGCCTGGGCCCTCAAGAGCCGGTGGAAGCGCTGAAAAAAATGGCGTGGGTGGGGTTCTGAGATAACCCCTGAGATAACACTAGAACCTGTTCACGCCTTCAGGCACCGGTGCGGGACCATCAGGCTCGCGCTGCGGCGCTGGGGCCCTCGAGAATCGGCTTGGGACACTCGAGCGCCAGGGCCGCATGGGCCCCCACAACGAACTGTGGGTGTGCAAAAATAGGTGTTTGCACACCCTCGGGATTTTCAGGGTGTGCAATTGCACACCCTGCCCCCCGGAATCCGCGGTCCCTGATCGGTGTGGAGGCGTCGCCGTCGTATTAGTTTGAAATGGGGGCACCTCTGGGTGGTAATAGATGCATTCATTTCACTGGGACACCTACCAGCGTTGATTGCCTGTATTCATTCATTTCGGGCTCCTATCGGTGTTGAAAGGCGGCATTTATTTCACTGGGGCGTCACACACCTGCTACTCCCACCATAAACCTGATGACATTGAGCCAGGATGTCCGTTCCGAAGGGCTGACGTGATACTGATGACACCACTGAATGCAATAGTGCAGTGCAGCCCAGGCGGCATGCTGCTTACCGGCCTGCAATTCTCTGTCACCGAGTTAAGTGTTATGGATTCGGCGCCTTATTCACTAGTCCACACGAAGGTATTGGAACCGTGGAACTCTTTTCGATATGCCTTATTCGGAGAATCTTATGATATGGTGATGAGGTTGTTTCTAAACGAACATTATGAAGGTTACATTTACGCTATGGAATGTACCTAACTATTTCTCGTTACATAAAAACTGTAATTCTGAACGTGTTAACAGGTACAACACATTGTCAAACGTCTCTTCACTGTTTGTGTTACTACAACCGTGTATATGGTAAGGGGCGCCCAGTGGGAAGGGGCGCTTCAATATCGTTTGCACCCCTATCCTAGAATACCTTCCGCCGCCACTGGGTTGATCCCAGTCTCACAGTCACGACTATGACGTCATGAACCACATCTCGGAGCACCAACATTGTCACCCTGTGAGACGTGAACCGACGAGCGACAGGCGTGCGGTGACGTAAATCGGGATACGAAGCGGTTCACATGTAAAACTCGCGGCACTCGTTTGTGCCGTTTTGCAGCGCTCCGACAGAAAATTCGCCAAAAACCACAACAGTTTGTCGCCGATCTCAGTGAAAGTTGCGATGTCGCATGGATGATTGTGAGCAGTGACCGTGACAAAGTAAGATTGTCGCCATTAAGAGTTAAGACGACACTGTCCGTTGCAAACTAATGACGCTAATCCCTAACGCACGTAACCCGTTCTGGGTGTTACCCATGTCCAGATAAATATGTCTGAAGTGAAATTCGTTGCACTGAACTGGAGTCTGGGGGACGTGAATATTTGGTGGCTAACAAGACTTGGGTCGCTGAACTGGCAGAGTCGCCCAGGTTTGGTAAAGTCTAAGAATTTCTTGAGATGGTGATTGGGCTCGATGCAGTACAGGACATACGAAGCTTTCATGTAAGGCGGAAGCATTGAAAATATTTAACTTTCGTGTTTTTGCAATTTTTCGTGCTACGAACGGCACGGACGTGCTTTTAGTCTAAACGAGCATAGTTGCTCCAGTCACCACGTTACCCTACGTCGGTCGGTCTGCGGTCAGCGATCATAGGTCACCGGGCTTTGATGACCTATTCCGCCCGATTTATTTTTTTTTTGTCCCGACAGTTACTGACCTGACGAGGCCTGGTTGACATCGAAGTGACCTAGCCTGACCCCTATCCGAGACTCCCCTGCTCTAAATTAACATTCCCGGCCTGACCTCTTTGACCTGACCTGACCCGACCTTTGCCCCCTGAAACCGACCCGGGCCCCAGCCCTCCCCCATCTGCCACTGACCTGCCCCCGACCCTCACCCTCTCTGCCACTGACCTTCCCCGACACTTAACCTCTCTGCCACTGACCTGTGCTGACCCCGGGTCGCTCCTGTCCCTCTCGGGCGCCTCTCGTCGTCTCCATCCCCGGACCGGTCTCGGCTCCGGGGGCCGTGATGGCTGCGCCGTCGGCGGCGGGTGCAGCGTCGACGGCGTCGTCGTCGTGCCGCCCCTCCGGCGTCCTCCGCGCGCGGTAGCCGGCGCTGACCAGGAGACCAGCAGGAGGATCACTGACAGCGCCAGCAGCGGGCCGCGTCTGGCCGCCGGCAGCATGGCTGTCCCTCGCCCGGTCGCACACCTCTCAGGAGATCACCAGCGCGGCGCAGCAGCGGCCGCTCGGACGGGCGCGCGGCGCGCGTCTCCCGAGACTCCGCGCGCCCCGCCGCCGCGCCGCGCCGCCGCCCTCGGCACAAAGCCGCCTCCAGCGGCCGCTGACGGTGCTGCCGCCCCTGCCCTGGTAGGGCCGGCGCTGAACCGCGCTCCGCCCTCGGCCTCACCGCTCGCCCGGCGGCACAGTCAAAGCAGCCCTGTTGGAGAGACACTGATGAATGCAGGTTCGGTGCGGCGGTCTAGACGCCGTCCGGCTCCCACAGACCGGGTGGTCCCTCTCGCCGTCCCTCCCAACCGGCTCCAATGCAGAGAATTCGGTCCAATTTGTGACGGGACAAAAACGCGGCGGATGGTTGGCATCGGAACGCGCACATCCCCATCACCGATGCAGATTATTAGAGAGGAATCCATCTCAAGGTCGTCTCTGGTCCGGTGAACCTTTCACCTCAAGAGTACGAAGAAAAAGAACGCACGTGGACCTCATGGCGAACCTATGACGATGACGTCACTGAGCTGTGATGACGTCACTGAACCCAGACAGCTAATGGGTCAGGAATGTGGACAGAGTCCGTCCCGGGGGCCGAGAGACGGCCCGCGGTGATCGGGCGTGACAGGTAGGCGGTGTGACCTCACCGGGGGCATGTTGTACCCCTCGGCCGTCCCTACACTTCGCGCCTTCCGAGAACAAGGCCGTCTTTAGTCCCTGTCTCTACCGTACTGGTGCTAGTTCTCGCTGTAAGGGACCATCCAGACGCCAATGTGCCGTCCCCGCTGACGGAGAAGCCACATATGGGCAGCAGCTCGCGGGCTCGGTCGGCTCGGCGAGGGTGCGAACAGGTAACAACCAGCGCTATTTCCGGTGTGAGAGAGGCGTGAGCATCCAACATACAGCAGCAGTCCCGCACGCAGTCCATAAAATATGGAGATTTAATTAAGTAATTTATCATTTATCTGCGCTACTGAGTCATGTAGAAGCGGAGACGGTTATTTATTTTCAAAGATCCTACTCTCTTTTACGATCAATGGTGGGCATGGTCGGCCGATAAACATCAAAGTATCGTCTATGTCGGAGATTGATGCCCTTCTGAGTGGTTTATGTCCCAGTGCTAATCACTTGTGGCCGAGCCTATTCATTATGGCTTTCAGCGTCGAGTTAAATGGCTACCCGGCCGCAGGTACCGGCCGCCCAGTCACCGCCCGGCTGTTGATCTTTCATTGGCTCGGCCGGAAGCGGCGGCGGCTGCTGCGCAAAGATCTCATTATGATCAGCACGGAACACTGCAGCTTTGCTTTATCGCCTGGGAGTGGCGACCCCACAAGGGCTGGCCCACCGGCTTGGAGTCTGATCGCCTCATTTGCATCGCAGTTTGTACTGAGACAGTCGGATATTTGAACCGGAAAGGGCGCCGGCAACCCCACATGGACGGAGGGGTTATGTCTCTTATCCATGGTAATATCGATGCTGTATTGATAAATAGGTAATGTAATTTTGGGAATGGGCCTGACTTCGTTGCACTGCATACACAATTTCAAGTCATTTTTTTTTCCTCGACGGGTCGATCATTAAACAGCCATTACGCATACGGCATCATCCAACAATGTGTAAAAATCAACAGCCGTACACCAATCAAATATTAGCTCAACGCGGCCACTGGAAACTAGAGCGATAATGGTATTACGCATTACGTAACTCAAGGACTGCACTAATGCCATGAAAATGTATCGACTGAAAACGTTCGACCCCGAAATTATATAGTCAACAGTTTTGCTTCAGGCAGCAAGAACCTTCAAAATGCGCGATTACCTACCTGTCAACAGTCCTCTGCAGTAGCTCTTGACACAAAGCTTGTACCTACTTCTTTAGAGCTGTTTCTCTTGTCGAAAGCTATCGAATGCATTGAACTTTGATCTTAACCCGCGACCTGGTGGGGGGGGGGCTATTTTTTGCCCCCCCCCCCCTCCAGACTTTTCGATATATATCCAGAACCGCTGCGCCGATCGTCACCAAACTTTCAGTACCCTCCCGGACATCAATTTTACATATGGTGACCAAAAATTTTTCCAAAGGCTATGATAGGTTGGCCGGAAATGACGTCAGAGTGACGTCATGTTCTGCCGTTTTCGACCCAAAAAAGGGTTTCACGGAAAGAGCTGTCAGGCCTATAGCTTTGCAAATACAGAAAAATGATAAAGACATAAAAGCTGTAGAATGGACAGGGCTACAAAACTGCTATCTCGGATTTGTGAAATTTTTGGATTTTAACCCCCAAAAATAAAAAAAATCAATGTTTTGGATATAATGATCTAAAAATCCAAAAAGTTTTTTGAATTTCGCAAAAACCGGAATACATGTGATAGTCCGTACCACCTTACATCCACATACCAAATTTGAGATTGATATCTCTTTTTTTGGCGAAGTTATAGCGAAAAAATGTTCAAAATTGATGACGTCAAATTTTCAAACTCAATTTTTAGCAATTCTAGACCACGTAGCGCAAAACAAAGACCACCATTAGACTCCTCGTGACGAGCTGCATCGAATCAATACCCATTTTATGCAAAACTATCAACTTTAAAAGTTGACCTTTTTTGGCCTGACCTTGACCTGACCCAGGGGCGTAGGCAGGGGGGGGGCCACTGGGCCATGGCCCCCCCCCCTTGGGCGCCGAAGGCGCCCTTTGCGATTGGAGGGCGCCGAAGGCGCCCTCCAATCGCAAATGCAATTGTGATATAATCGAATCGAAAAACAATCGCGACTGGAGGGCGCCCTCCAATCGCGAATGTGTTTACAGGGAAAATACGGATGGAGGGCGCCCTCGGAGGACGCCCATTCCAAATACGCCCTCCAAATACGGTTGGAGGGCTCCCTCGGGCGCCCTCCAACCACATTTGTAGGCTGTAGCTCTCTAAGCGTAACGGTGGTCGCCTATGTAAGCCGCTGTCCTGTAAATAAGCGCCCTCTCACCCGAAGGCGCCCTCCTGTAGGTTGCCACCCTCCTACACGTTGCCGCCCTTCTGCTGATCGGCGTCCTCATAATTATTGGCGCTCTCCTACCTATTGCGCCCTCATGTGAAATTTTGAAGGCCGCCTTTCTCCCTTTTGGCACCCTCTTGTTCAGTGCCGCCCTCCTACCTATTGGTTCCCTAGTCCTTCCTGTTGAATGTTAATCGGGGCCCTTCTCCTATTGGCGCCCTCGTGTAGATCGCCGCCCTCCTAACCACTGGCACCCTCCTGTTGACCAGCGCCCTCCGCACAGACGCCCTCCTGTTCGTGTCATCCTCTTGAGCAAAGGCGCCCTCCTCACCATTGCCACCCCCATTTTAATCGTCACCCTTCCGCTCATTGGCGACTTCCAGTTGATGACCGCCCTCCCACCTATTGGCGACCTCTTGTTGATCGCCACCCTCCTATTGGTGCTCTCCTGTTCCTCGCCACCCTCTTACCTGGTGGCGCCCTCCTGTTGATTGTTGATCGGTGCCCTCCTACCTATTGGTGCCCTCCTGTTGATCGCTGCCCTTCTATCCATTGGCGCCCCCCTGCTGCTCGCCAACTTCCTACCTATCGGTGCCCTACTGTCGAAACTCGGGATGTTGATCGGGGCTCTTCTACCTATTAGTGCCCTCCTGTGGATCGCAGCCCTTCTACCTATTGGCAACATCCGTTGATCGCTGCCCTCCTATCATTTATTTACTCCTTTGGCATGTTTTTCAATTTAGTCGTTCTATTGCACATAGTTGATGTCTTGCCTGTGAAAACTGCCACAAATGAACGTGCATTCAGCACAATGAATGAAGTATCTATACCTACCAAAACTATCTACGCTCTACGATGCATAAAACACGTCTTTGGTCTTAACGGATTGATCCTACTTTACGTGCATCATGGCATCTATATGGATTACGATTAAGTATTGTCAACAGGTTCGGGCGCAACAGCAGGCATCTGAAGTTTCGGTGATTGAAACTGGTTATGTGGGTACACTGTATGCATCTGTGAGAAGGCTATGAAGGCTGGTCTGAGGTAATTTGGATGATGTTTACGCATCTCGCGCTCCGGTATCAATCCGATACGGTGATCTGGTGCGTAGATATGCCACTGCCAATAAACTTTTATACATCGACACCCATGAGCCAAGCTTTCTGTACAGTTTATGTGGCAGCGGCCCGACCAAACCTTAGGTATTTTTTACACCTTCAAATTTGGTAAAAGAGCGAGAGGAGCTTTGAACAGTGATCGTATAAAAGGCGTGCCTAAAAAGCGGAGGAAAAGGTTGTTTTCAAAAATTTCGCGCGCCTTCGGCGCAGCATTTCAAGAACACTTGACCTTTTGTGACCTGGAGTATAAAGAATACACACGATGCAAAATCAATGCAGCACGACCTATACGAGGTTACGCAAAAAAAAACTGGTGGCATGGTAAAAAACGCCTCCCAACCCCCCAACCCCCACTGAGCGATTTTTTATCTCGCGACCGTATGGCGCCCTCCTTGGGTGAGGTGGCGCCCTCCAAACCCTTGGCCCCCCCCCCTTCGCGATTTTCTAAATACGCCGCTGACCTGACCTTGACCTGAACTTCACCAGAAAGTGACCTAAGCCGTACCTGATAGTCTTATTACCAACACCATTGAGTTGGAAATGAAAAATTGGCCATAAAACATGCATCACACAACCTTAGTGAGGTTGGACTCATGTGACCTGATCTGTGACCCTTGGTGACCTGACCTGTGACGTGACCTGGTATTGTCAGTGACCTTTAATAGCAACATATCTACTAGGCAACTGACGCCCTATCGCTGATTCTCGACAAAATGCGTTTTCCTCGGTGTTTTAGCGCATTCCCTAGAAGACCCGTGAACGGTGAAACATTTCATCTTTGACCTGACCTGTGACGTCATCGGTGACCCCGAGGTCAATGAAATTTGGTTTCCTTCGACAAATTTGACAGGCCTTTCGAACGCCGTTTGAATTTTGCGGATCCGTCCAGTAGTTTCGGAGATACGAGGGGGGAAATAGCCCCCCCCCCCCACCAGGTCGCGTTACAAACAGACCCCACCAGGGCGCGGGTTAAAACCTCACTACAAATATGACCTAAGGCCGGTCAGATAGATGTAACCTGACCGGGAAATCATGTTTCCTTAAGTACAGAATCCCGTATAGGTGAGCTGAACACTTCTAATGCATTTTCATCGTTCTGGCAT